TTTTGCGACCCTGGTGGCACTATTATTTTCATGAAGGTGACTGTCATGAACATTCGCCGCGGATACATGCTGAGTGAACCACGCCTACGATCATCCCACTTACGCTTTCGTCCTCGCTTTGCGTAAAAGGATTAACCCAGGAATGGTGGGATGGACTCTAGATACCTTATATGTTGGTCTAATCCACCCTAAACAACCAAGGTGAGACTAAACCCTCCATAATATCTCGTTAACATGGACATGGGCCAAATTCCAAATTGGGCCAGATGTCACATTTCCACTCGAAATCTTAGCTTTCTGGTAGTGGCTGGCAGGGAAAGGGCCAAGCCCAAGAGGAGAAGTGTGAGTGGGAGATGGAGACGAGCTGGCCCGGATTTTGGCTAGAGGGGGAGAGCTGCGGTTTTAGAGATATATATAGAGAGAGAGAGATTTGGTGGGCTGCGAAAAAGGGTTTTGGCTCAACAGAGTAAGGAGAGGTTTTAAGCGTTTTTTATAAATATGTGAATTCATTTTGAAACTCAAATTCAAACCTTTTCGATCAAACAAAGTTCGAAACTTATTTGAACAGTTTGTGATTTCAAAACTAGTCACTTTTAAACATAGTCTTTAAAATTAGGTTTAAATATATTTTTCAAACAAAACTTAATACTTTATTTTAAAAATAGAATAAAACCTTTTCATAGCTTAACTAGAATTTTAATAAACCATTATTCACATAATAAAAATAATGCACTCAACATCAATGCAAGAAACATATTAAATTAAGTTTAAAAAGTATTAAAAAATCACATTTTTCGTTGTTCAAATTATAAACAACATAATTAAATCTTGGAAAATTTTAGAAAATTCGTAAAACTATTTATTTTATTTAGTGTTTTCCATTGACAACCCAAAATAGAAATTTTGGGATGTGAAGGTGCTTCATTCTGATCTATCTCAATTTCAGGTTCCCCTGCGTGTTCTCCAACGCTGCTGGACGTCTGGCGATCGGCCTGTTGAGCAAGGGCTTGTGCAATGGTTCCATATGCCATCTTCTGTTTCAACATGGGAGTCCTACGACCATCTACGCCAACAGTTTCTGAGGGCACCGGCCTGGGGATATGCCGGTTCTGAAGCATCGTGGAATGTAAGCCCAGCTACGACGGCCGGCGTCCGACAACAGGCCACCGGGAAGAGGCGCCTACGGCCTGGCCTGTGAGAAGTCGCAAGCCCAGTACAAGAGTCATAGGCCCAGTGTGGATCAATTGATCGGAACTTTATGTAATCTTCATGCAAACAGAAAGTTCTCGGTTCTGCTTATGATGCCTTGCGTGAACAGAAATGGGGTTGGGGCCGGGTCTACAGTCATGATATCTGAAGAACAGGTTTCTTACGATGGAACGAGCGTGCTAGTGACATGTAAGTACAGGGATTCTGTTAAACAACTCCGGAGAAGACTGTCAGCGAAATGCTGGCTAGGCAGAAAGCAAACCTTGCAAAATGGCAAGGTACAAAGCAGGATGCTAATGCTGCAGGCTTGGACCACTCCTTCTGGTTGTTTTATGTTGAAAGAATGCGTGTGAACATATATGTCAAGCTTTTATTTTCTGAAAAGGCCTGAGAGGATGTGAATGCTATTGGGTACACTGGCAAAACGTGAACTACGGAACAAAACAACTGGAAGGAACTCTTACTGGACAAAACTTATATAGCATGTCTAAATTTTAGGAAATTTAAATAAAAACACACACTGTAATAAGGGCCGCCTATTCCTGATGAATGGATTTCTTCATGACAGTTAGAGGTATCAAACATTGAGCCTGAGCCATTTTGGTTGAATTACGGAGAACAAATAAACAAGACTAACTATGTTGGTTCGGATATATAAGCTTGTTTTCAAGGCAAAAGGCATTAATGCAGAAAAGTGCAGTGAAAGAAAAGGATCTAACAGAGAGCTAGCTCTGAGCACACGGTCAGTACAATACTTATCTTATGGCTAGAGCAAAGTAAATATTCCTCATTCGTACAAAAATTGCTTTCTCCAACAGTATATATATGTGCACCCTCCATACTCGCATGCAAATGCTGCCTTCTGATTACTGGGGAGGACGATATCAGAAGGGTTTCAATTTTTTTAATTGAACCAAGTGATTATTCGTAATTTCGCCATGGAGGACCAGGAAGGTATGATCTATATGTCTTCCTCATTTGTGTGTATACATACGGTTAAGAAGCAAAAATACCATAGGCTTGATGCACGTTTTCTTTTATCACCAGTCACGACAATGATTATGAATCTACATATAGATTGAAGGGGTTACACAGATTTGAGGGGATACATAGTTTTTCTTATACTGATATGAAATTGAAGGGGTTACATAGATTGTCTATCATAATAGGAGAGGTGGGTAATTAGATGCAAATTTATCATATTTCTTAATGATATAGGTGGGTAATTTTGGATAGAGTCATGGGCTATATTATGTTGTCTTACGCAACTGCAGTTGCAGTAGTGGGTAATTATTTATAAAATAGAATAGATCCAACAACTATTATTATCAATGGTGATTAGATTCTACCGAATTAAGGGTTAGATATTTATAATTTTTGTGAAAGTTTCTAGAATCTATCTTTTTTCCAATCGGGTCTCATGGGGATAGTGGGGAGGCTCCATTGGGGATCTATAGTTAGAATTTCTAGAAGTTAACTTTTTTTAAGCATCATATGTATTTAGTTTGAATCTGAGCTTAAGATATATTTGCTCTTGTTATATCGTTTTTTTTTTACTTCAAGAATCTACAATTTAGCTTTCAACTTTTAATCTTCTTGTTGAATTTTTTTCCACATTTTAAGTTGAAACTCTAGTATTTTTATCTTTTATTCAAAATTTAATATTTTTTGGTTAAAAAAAGAGTTTAGGTCCTACCAGTATTGTCTTCAACATGTTAAGCTAAAACTTAGCTTGCACATCAGCACCCCTGTTAAATTTGTTATATTACAGGATTATATGTGTATCTGTATTGTTTTTTATATCATAGAGTGTTTAAACTTAAATTATCAATACTGATACGACATAGTGATCTAGTTAAAATGTATAAACTTATTTTAAATAACAACTTATGATTTTTTTTATAATGGAGTATTAATATAAATTAAAGTGACTTGCCAGTGTCATTGCTATGCGCTTGTTAAGTAAACATTTTCCATGCATTATAAGCTATTAAGATAAATATTTATCATAAAGTACTAATGTTTACTTGGTCTTCATGAGGAAACATAACATTGTGGTTACTTTTAACATCATGGTTGTAGAAGTGTGTAATTTAGAAATATGTATACCGTACTTTATGGACACTGAATTATTTTTCACAAGTATTTACATGTAGATTTGAGAGATATTTTTGTTTATTTTTTGTAATGGTTGATGTAGATACAAATATAAGAGTGATGCATTATACAATCTTTCATTATGGCATAGATGGATAGGTTGAATGCGAATTTTGGTATTAATTTGCATGATCTTTCATTATGACAAAGATGGTTGTAGAAGTGTTATATATAAGTATACTGCCCGTGCTAACGCTACGACAACATTCGGATATATGCAAATTAGAACTGAAATATATGCAAACTCCATCACATGTCTACCACAAATTGAAGTGTCCCTAGCTATATACAAATTTGTTATAAATGAAATTTCTATGGTGGAACAAGTTCATGGAGATGAAAGTTCATTTTATTTCAAGGCACTAAATAACTGCCCTAGTTTATATAGTAGCATTTCAACATTAAAATATATCCAACTGATGTCTTCACAGAAGTGCAAAAACAGTTGGAGTAACTTGACATCCATTTAACGTCGAAGTACGTAATGAGTACGTGAAATTCTGGTTATGATTTTTCAGAACTAGAACAGAGGCAACTAGCGAGGAAGGAGCGACGAATGATGCCGAGGATCTTAATAACGCAGGACCATGGCGACCTAGATACTGCAGAATCCAGATTAGGTGCAGGACAGACGGATCGTTCTCGAGATCTAGGTCCTTCTTTGTCGATGGTTCCTCGTCAACATGAAGGTATTCTTCTTTCTTTCGTTTACAGGCATATCTCCATTCCTCCGGAACTTTGAAGCAAACTAGGATCAAATATTCACTACGCCTGAATAGACAATCACTGTCAGAATATCACTCCTGGTTGCTTTACAACTAGCAGTGATGAGTTTATCCCTTTTAGTTCGTGGCTTCAACCGGCAATGTGATAGCACAAACAGCGGTGATAGTGGACTATCACTATAAGTTCGTGACTTCAACCAGCAGTGATAGACATGGTACTATCATTGTCGGTTGAAGCCACGAACCACTAGTGATAGCCTATTGTGTAAAAAAATTCAAAACATTTTCATATGAGGTCGAATCAAGATAAACTTTATAACCAAATTATAGAGTTCAAAAAGGTATAAAACATTGTAGTTGATAATATTTTAATTTGAGATGTTTTACATGTCCAAATATTTAATATAAGTTCTTGGATCAGATTTATATGGTTAGCAATGTCGAATAAAGGCGAAGTCAACATCAAAGTTGTAGTGCTCGATGTGATCTACAACTTTACAGTTAACAACTGTCTTATTTGAGATCATCTGGTGTCCAAAATTCAATATAAAACTCAAAATTGTGTAGTTAAAAGAATAACATCAGTTGTTTAGTTACAAGTGTCACGTAGCTCAGCTGTTATGGACGCTCGAGAGAACATGAACATTGAGCTCTCAGGTTCGAATCTTAGAAACACATATTTCATTTGCAGGCATATCTTCATTCCATGGGGATTTTAAGCCAAAGCTAGGATCAAATGTTCCATATATCCCAAAGAAATATTAAGATTGCTTTTTTTTTTTACTTTCCTTAGAACGTTCTGGTTGATATGTCTATCTAAGTATATAATTTTAAGCTGCCTCCTGAGTACTGTAAAATAAGCCAATGTATATAATCATGTCTTACCTTCACTCAGAGATACAACATGCGATGGAGGACTACGTGAAGGAAGTGGAGCGGAGGATGAACGGTGTGCTCCTTCCAAAATATGGCACTGATGAGTCCGAACAACCACCAACTATCTACACGGTTCCCCAAGAGATCAGAGGCGGAAATGAGGATGCCTACCTCCCATTTGCGGTCAAGATCGGCCCATTAACGCGCTACGAGAACCGCATGGGGTATTATTACGACCAGTACGATCGCCTTCAAGACTACAAATGGTGCTGTGTTCGCAGGCTCATTGGCAGAAACCACCTTCTCCAGGAGCCTGACAGGACGCCAGTGCTCCTTCACCGGTGCCTCAACTCCTTGAGAAGCCTAGAGCCACGGATCCGTGCATCCTACCAAAACACAGATAACATCAATGAGCAGGACATGCTGCTAGATGGATGCTTCATCCTTCACCGCCTACTCAAGTACGCGCACATCGCAAAAAGAGAAGAAGCATTGGAGGTGAAGGCAAGTACAGCTAAGGATGAGGAAGAGGAGGACGACGACTGGACCCAGGTGTTCGGCAGGTGCTGGGTCTGGGGCTTTGTCACATACGACCTGCTGCTGCTCGAGAACCAGATTCCTTTCTTGGTCGTGCAAAGCTTGTTCCATGACCTTCGGACAGACCCAGACGAGAGCAGCGACGTCCTCGTGCTGGGCGCCCAACGCCTCTTCCGCTCCCTCCGGCCACAGCCGCTGCAGTCTTCGCACATCGCCTGCAGCAGTGTGCACCACCTCCTGCACCTCTTCTACCAATCTGTTGGTCTTCCAGCCGCGACGCCCAAGCCTGACAACCTCCGCAGGTACAGGATGCCACCGTCGGAGCTCTCTGAGTGGATGCCATGCGCGACGGAGCTGGAGGAGGCTGGCGTGAAGATCCGGGCGCGACAGGGTGCATCGAGCTTCCTCGACGTGGGGTTCGACGCCGGCTTCCTGGAGATCCCGATGCTGCAGCTGTACGACTACAGTGAGCAACTCCTGCGCAACCTGATCGCCTTCGAACAGACCTACCCGCTCACGCCGGGCCACGTCACCGCCTACGCTATGCTCATGGACTGCCTCGTGGCCTCGTCAGAGGACATGAGGCTGCTGCAGCTCAGAGGCGTGCTGATCAACCAGATGAACGGCGTGCGAGACAAGGACCAGACGGGGTTCTTCAGCCGCCTCTGCCACGGTGTACACATTGCCGCCGACCGCAACTACCTCGGCGGTGTGATCGCGGAGGTGAACAAGTACCAGCAGGCAAGGTGGCCCCGTTGGCGTGCGGCACTGGTGCGCAACTACTTCAGCAACCCATGGGTGGCCACGTCGCTCGCTGCCGCTGTGTTCCTGCTGGCCCTCACCATTATGCAGACCTTCTTCGCTGCGTATTCCTACTTCAAGCCACCCCATTGAAGTGAATAGCATAGTATGATCCACCACCTTTATATACCAAACTGGATCATCCTAAGAGCAGACCTTTTTTCTGAAAGTTTTTTTTATTATTATTGTCACGTCATCTTCCTTGGCATTTGGAGTATATATATATATATATATATATATATATATATATATATATATATATATATATATATATATATATATATATATATATATATATATATATGCGTACTGTGTTGTGTGTTGTAATCTATCTGTGTTCCTACTTTACGTATTGTCATTTTTCACCGTGGTGGCACCAGCGCTAATGTGGGTCTGATATATCGAGTCCAGCCTCTAAACTTGTTTGGCGGTGCCATCTAACTACCAAACTTCTAAAATTGCATATCCAAGTCCCCAAACTTGCTAAATGGACAACACAAGCTAACTAAACTTGCATGACGGTGCAATATATCTAGGTTACTAACTTGCAAAATTACAATTTCAGATCACGAAACATACTAATCAGGCCACGCAAGGTCTAGACTATAGTTGTTTGTGATAAACTGCCTACGTGATTATTGACTGTGCACCTCTCACGTGGTGCCCACATGTTGTCCCTCTCTATTGTTTCCCTTCACAACTCCCTCCCATATTGCTGCCATCATTCTCGATCTTGTGCCACGTAGACTGAGCACTAGCATCAACTATATCCCACCAACAACAATCTCAGCACGTCTGAGTAACAGAAGTAGCACATGCCTGCTGAGTGTAGCTGTGGCAAAGGCCCAATGGCGGCTGGCATTGCACGAGCCACACTCCCTGCCCTTGCCTAGCGGCAGCCAAATCCATGCTCCTGCAGGGCCTTGCTATATAGGGTTGTTCGGATGGCACTAGCAGGCCAAAGGTTGGGAGCGTTGTATGAACGGGCACAGGAGGGAGTGAGAAAAGAGATGAGAGAGCTGGATGTCATATTGACTTACATCTAAAGATATGATTTGGTGTGGCCACGGCGCGGCCTCGTGGTGGTGTACGTCGCCGCTTTTCGCGGCCGTTCGATCGGCCACGCGGACGGCCCAGATCGGGCGAGCCGCGGTCGTTTTACGAAAAACCCCTTTAAGTTTTCGGAAATCAACCCGCGCTCCAGACGTCCTCTCAGAATTTTTTACAAAAAACGCCTCGTATTATTTCCAAATCAACGCTCAGTCCAGACCGGATGGGCACTGGTTTGTTTGCAAAAAAGACCTCCACTTTATCGAAAATCAACTCGCGCTCCCCAGACACTCTCACCGTTTTTTGCGAAAACATCCTCAGATTTTTCTCAAATCAAAATACAGCACAACTTTGATTATATCTTTTTTTCTCCAAAAACTACGTGTGGCCAGTGGACCGCGCGCATGGGCGCGCCCGAAAAACTAGTAGGTGGGAGTGGGGAAGGAGATGAGAGATGACGACATGTTGGCCCACATGGGCATGGATACATGTCAAGAATACAAGGCGGGTGCCCATGTTTGCCCAAGGAGGATTGTCCCTACTGACTTTTTTTACGCTTGGCGTGGTGTACATAACTTGCGGACAACAAAGGTAGCTAGTGTGGAGAGTGGGCTGGTTTAGATCTTGCATGGCTGGAGGTCCACTTAGCGTCAACCAACATAGCGCATGGTGTTGTCAAACAAAGTGCACGAGGAAACATCATCTCTTACTCAAGAGATGACATGGCCTTCGGAGAAGGAATGGATTGGTGTGTAATAAAGTGGAATGACAAGGAAGAAGAAGAAGAGGGAACAAATTACATTTAGTGTGCTTGGGCCATGTCAGTTGTAGGCCTCATGTAGATGTCGTGGTACGGGAGCAAAATTTTGATAAAGTATAAAATACACTGGCAGTCCCTAACCTTGATTAGGTGTCCCATCTAGGTCCAAACCTTTTCTGTTTTCATTCCTAGGTCTCTAATCTTTTTCAAGTCCAGCACTAGTCTAAACAGGTTACGGCATACTCCATATGCTGTCAAGCACTGCTACAGAAATGGGCATCGCCGCACCATTATCACCGCTGGTTTTTACAGAATTGGTGACGAAAGTGTTTCAATGCTGTTTTACGTCCAGGGCGACGAAGTGACCAATTGAACTAGCGGCAGAAAGTGTTTTCACCGAAGACTCGGGGTTTGAACCGGAGGAGATAACCTAGGTCGATTTCACCGCCTGACTATACGCCGAGTCTGCAGTGAAAGTAGGGTACACTGTCGGCCGGAACGACCTAGGCACCACTTCATATTGGACCAGCTATGAAAGAAAATGTCAGCGCCAGATAAAAATTTGTTGTTGTACCTAGCGGAAACATTGTTTGTATTGCCGAATCATAGGTTGAACCAGAGGTGCAAATAGGGCTGGCCTGTGGGCATCAGTTGTGGCCATAGTTGTCGTCCTTTGGGCTGTCCTGGGAAACAGACTCTTCTTTCATGGTCGATTTGTGTTCATTAGGCAGCACGACTATTCGGTTTCACATGGCCGAAACTTTGTGCCCCAATGAACCACAGTGACATCGGGAAACTAAGAGGCACTCACAATTCTGTACAAATAGGAGCAATCTACCCTCTGAAAACCTCACTTCTTTCTCCACTCCAAAATCATATACACTGATCCAAATTCCACTCACACCATGACAAACTTCAATCAGCCTGACTGTAAGGACCGTGATGCCTAAGAGGAGAGAGTGAATTAGGCAACTTAAAATCTACTTCTGACTATGGCATCTAATTTGAACCTAAGCAAAACCTATGCAATAAATAAACTATCTAAATGTGCAACTATGGTTTTGCTAGGTGTGTTAATTACTACCTCTACCGCAAAAGAGTTATGCAACGTATGTTCCAATCCTATCAACTAGCCTATTAACTAGCCACACCATAAGCGCGGTTGGTGTGGTGTCGCAAGACTACAAGCCCCACCGAGTACAACAATGGTGCGTGCAAGCACCGAGTGGTAAAAGGTACTCAAACCTCACTAAATACTAGGCCTAACACCTAGAGCAAGCACATAAGCGGTGGTCTAACTAACCTAAGCACTTCGCAAAGCACATATGCTAATCACCAAGTGAATCTGTAACATCCTAGATGTTGAGCACTTAATGAAATCCTAATAATGATCATTAATAAGCATAATCATCAAGCATCATGGCATAAATGCATCTCATGTTTTAATTATACCATGTATATGTTGCATATGTGTTGTGATGTGATTTCATGAAATGTTATAAAAAACATCAATTAAGGTTCTTTGTGAATTTTTGGAATGGGAAAATTTTAAACAATTAAAATTTTGTTAATATAAACTTTCAAGTACAGAGTGTGTGCTATAACATAGAATCAAGGTTGTGTTATGTTTTCAAATTTAACATGTTTAAAATGGAGCCCAAAGATTGAATGCAATGCTATTCTAGTACTTGGTCAAAATTTCGCTAAGTTATTGATTAATAGTTTTGAAGTTCAATTTTTGAGGAATTAATAAATGAATTTTCATAAATAAAATTTGTACAACCTTGGCTCTATGCATTGGTATGAAGCTTGAACTTTGAGATTGTGCTATTGGTTGAAGGGTTTGACTAATAATTGCTCACTAATTAATTGACCAAAGTCAGCTAATCAACTGTTTTGCAAAACCCTAACTGAAGTTCAGTTTCAGTTTCAAGTACCCTTGTTCTTTACCTTGGATCTCACTAACCAGTGAGAGTTTGATGTTGAGCCTTTAAGAGAAGTTAGAGATCTCATCAAATTGAACAAGTGATAGTAATGAAGTTTTTCAAGTTTCAACATGGAATTATGAGAAATAGAGGGGTGAAAGAGCTCTGTCAGTTGCTACAGTGACCGGCAGCAGCAGCTTGCCTGCTCGCCATTGCCGTGCGCCAATTGGTCGCCCTCGCGCTGCTTCTCACCCCTGGACGCGCGGCCATCTGCGTGGCCGAGCTCGCGTAGCCACTGGCACGCCCAGACGCTTCGCCCTCGTCTTTTAAAAGCTCCAGCGCCGACGCCGTCCATCCTGTTCCCTCTGTCAGCCACCGTCGAGCATCCTCTTCGCCGGCCAAAATTCGTCGCTCTCGCTTCATCCCAGTCCAATTCCTCTCGCCCACAGCGTCGCCTTGTCCTTGCGCTTCTGCTGATCCCGTTCGTGCCGTCCAATTCCGCCGGAGTCGGCCGAACGCCGCCATCTTCCTCGCGGCCGTCCGTAGCACCGCCGCGAGCACCTCACCGTGGCTAGCCCGCTCTAGTCAGCCTCTCGCTGTGCTGTTTCGTGATTCATCTTCGCCTTATTTCTGTGATGGTGATAGGATCCTCCGTTTTATCTCTACCGTACAGGACTCGCCGGAACATCACCGCCGCCGCCAGTTCACGCCACCGAATCCGCCATCAACGTCGGCAACCCTCCCCGCTTCGTCTCCACCTCAACCGAGCAGCCGTGCGAGATCGTGGTGAGCTCCTGATGCTTTCTGGCGTGGTAATTTTATATCTACTGGTCCTTCGTGGCCGTTGTAGCGTCGCCGCTCCGCCGTGGCCGCCATGGACGGCGTTGAGCTCGCTGCTGTACTCTAGCTAGTCAACCGACACCTTAGATCGATGCGCGTCGCTGCTGGGAACACTCCGGTGTCCTCATCGTCGCCGGCGACCTCGCCGTCGGTGAGCTGCGCGGCTTACCCGCCGGCGCGCGCGCGGTCAAGGTGAGTGAGAAAGGAGCAGAGTGAGAAAAGGTTTTCAGCCTTTAATCTTTTTAAAAAATGATTAAAATGAGCTGATTCTTGTTTAATTCATAATTAATTATAGAAGAGTGATAAAATTATGAATTTTTTTTATTAAGTACTATATCCACGAAAAATATGAGTTAGCCTTTTTAAGTAATTTTGCTATCCTCAAAAATTACATATTTTAATAGAAAAATGCTATATGTATGATTTTTGTAGGACAAAATATTAATCCTTTAATCATGACACTTTTTGTGTAAATGTCATGTACTAATACCTGTCTCCACGAAAAGTTTGGTATTATT